TAAATTATGAATCTGAATACGGAAAATTCTCTGAAAACTGTATCCTGCTTACCGCGCGCTAAACGTCATGTTTTTGACTCAAACACTCTCATTCATACTTACTGAAATGGGTATCCGTCAGGACGCACACAGGCAACAAGCTAGGCGCAAATTGGTGGAATCGCGCGCTCTCGTTAAAAATCTTCAATTTTTCACATTATTATTTGTCTATTTATTTTTGTATAGTGGAGATTTTCGACTTGTGTCAAGAAAGTTATAATAAAGCGGCGTTTCAAAATGGTGAAGCCGTCCTCTTATAATGCAATTATCACCTAGCTGCACCGAAAGGTCCTTCGCGTTATGTACTTCTGGAACAGTCTCGAGTAAACAAAGCCAGAACAGAAGCCTTTCAATATTTTGGATAATGGAAAAACTTTTGAGAAGGCCAGATGAGGCAAGTCGCTCAAAGTCATCGCCCGATCCTGTTTTCGGAGATTTTGCGATCGCTTCCGCAGCAATCAAAATCGTTCGGTTTGGAAGGCGGCCAGGCTGAAAGGGAACGTGCACTGGAGAGTGATAAGGCCCGCTTGGCGTTTAGCAGAAAGAGCGTTAGCGTTGAAGAGGCAGCACCGATGAGAGTCGCATCAATGCGGAAATCAACGGGCAAGGAAGGGTCCCATTTCTCGGGTTCTGGGCCGTTTCTCATGGTTTTTCTTCATTCCTGCACCACTGACCACCCCTAAATTGATTTTTAATGGTCTGCATTCCTTGCGAACTCCGCCTTTTATGGCCCCGGTGGAGGATCTTTAGGACAGGACGTGCGGCACCTGGCTGGAGCGGCGGACCCTGCAACTGCGCGGCATTAACGCTTAGGAGAAGAAAAAGGAGAAGCACGTGAGAATTCCAGCTCTGTCTCAATTTTCTATGCGCTAGAGTTGTTATGAAGGCATATGTTGCAGTTTGGGACCGTCTCACTAGCCTATGAATATCAATATTTAGGCTATGAATGTGCAGTTATCAGTCCTGCGGACTTATCAGTCCTTGAAAACTTCTTTTCGCTTAGGGCATTCTAAGAAGCCAAGCCTCGAAGGTAGGGCTTTAGTTGCACCAAAAGCGTTATCGGAGTCCTACTCTACCTCGAACATCAGGCGATCTACTGAACTGCTGTTGAGAGTTTATCTCACATTTTCACTCTATCTCGCCTGAGCGGAAGCTCACGAAGCTTTTTCAATGTGTTTCGTAATGATTATACACTTGATATACACTTGATATAAAGCACTCACCTATTCAGGTTTGCTTGAGCTTGGCTAGTAGGACGTGGTTCATCATTATCAGTACTTCCCACAACCTTAAATGCTCACAGCTTTGCGGTGAAGGAATAAAAAAGAATCTTTGGCTGAATTTTGCGGTGCATTTGAGCTGTCCATTCAGCCAGCGCTGGGATTGCCTTCACCTTTGCGGTAAATTTACTCTTACTGTGGAAAGTAACAGGCCATGTATGCAAGTGTGACTACAATGTCTCTGAATTAATAGCATGTGTAGCAAATTTCAAGATGAGCACAAAGAACAGTACTCAATGTCTGGGTAATCTTATTAATACATGAAAAAGGCGATTTTTCTGCCAGCCACGCGCACAACAGCCAAGAAACTCCCGCACGACTGGTCAGCGGATCTCGGAGCAGAGTCAACCCTGCGTTGCGCAGTTCGCAACGGCACGTTGAGAGATCCTCAACGCACGCTGTATGGGCGGAGACGCAGACGGCTCGAGCATGCGAGTGTGAATGTTCGCGCGAGAGAACGTGTCTAATCGGGCGAAACTGCGCAACGTGGCCGTTGAGAACTGCGCAACGCAGGGTTGACTCTGCTCGGAGCCTCGTTGTTGTGTTCATAAAAGCAACACCTGTAGCTTGAAGGCTCTCACGAAACTACGCCGGACTCGCTATCAAATAACCTGTTGCGAGTCGACCAGTAGACCCTTTGCACGCCTGCAGGGAGCGTGGTGCGCTGGGCACGTGCCGTGAAAGATACCGTATCCCTTCAGCACATTCATGCTTGAAGGCTAATTGGGAGACTGCTCCTCGTGAGTATGTTACGTAGAGGAGACCCTTTTCCTTCTTGTCTCCTTAATTTCTTAGCCGCCATAGTCACGATTTCTCTGTGAATCTGAGAGATTTCCCAGGATCAAAAAAAGAGCGGCATAAAGATCTAGTAGTAGTAAAGTCGAAAGTCGAGGGTAAAACTTACATAGTGGAAAGTCAGACAGACCCCCTGATCGGCACGCAAATCGCAGCGATGATAATTCCGGCGATCTAACCTGGCCGTCCCCGCGGCGCTATTGACGTTGCACGCGAGCGCGCGAGGCTAGTGGCAGGCCTGGCCGCAGGCCTCTAGTCGTTCAGCAGGGAGAACGTTGGCGTTGAAATGGGTGGCAATGAGAGGAGTCCCTCGATGCGGAAGAAAACGGGGCGGGAGAGGTCTGCCAGTGTGCTGGGCCTCGGCTTTGCTGCACTACTAGACACGCTGCCTTGATTTCTTACCTGGAATCGACCTAAATTACTCTAGACTAATTGGTGTGTCGCTGAAGGGCTATCTCATCCTAATAATGAAGTTACATTCTTCTACATGCGTAGTTAAAAGCTGTCACAGATCCAGGCTTAGCCTGGGGGCACACGTTCAACCCAAGTAGGAAAAGCAATCCGTGGCAAGGCGACGATGGGGGTGCGAAGTGAGAGTGTGATGCATCAAGTTTCAGAACCGTCACAAGACGTCACAAAGCAGCTCTCCAAGTTATGAGCGGTGCTCCGCATGCGGACCAAGGTGATTAGTGTGTTGCAGTGCCCCACCCTCTTATGGCTAAACTCACTCGTATACCATACGCTGCCTTGTTGATAAATTGTTTACTACACCAAAAGCACTAGCCAGAAATGCAATCAGTAGGATGGACGTGGTAATCAACAGGCATCAAGCGATGCCTTGGCATTCGGCCCAGAGTGTCAGTGTGTGAGAGGTAGCGTGGCGCGCCAACCGTACATACTTACCCAGTATTTAGACCCTCTTTGATAACCAGACAGAATTCATCCTATGTAGTCAGTACATTTATTCTGCATAGTTTCATTTTTCGCGTCTGACTAATGCTATTCTGAGTAGAGTGGTGCTTTGCTCACTCTTTTCTCATTTTCTCAATACGCAATGCTGTGCGAGAGTGCGAGTGAGGGCGGCGCACTTTGAATGGGAGGAGTTCAAATGGCCAATCAACTTTTAAGCTGAGCAAAAATTTTCCGCTCGGGCTCATTGCTCTTCGATTTATTTTACCAGATTAGTCCCCCGTCAACCGCCGGGACCTTCCTTTCCTGCGCAAGCTTTCTATCCTCCGCTATGGTCCCTTCCTCCTGTGACACCAACACCTCCTGGAAGTGACGCGTATGCAACACAATGGTGTTTCATACAGTAGAAGGGACACAATCATGATATGACGGTAGATTTTTCGCTTCCCTTCCTCATCCTCCCTTCCTCTCTCCACTGCCCTCCAGCTGCCACTGCAGCACCATGTGGAATGAACGGAAGTGTGCTAAGCAGGTGTTTATATAGCCCTAAGAGTGTTATCACAACTATCCTGCTACAAAACATTGATATCTCAAATCCTGTAAGCTACCCCATCTGTTAGCGGTTTGTTTATCCCATGAGCTTCCTTCTCACTCACTTCATTTTGCGGACGGACACACATACATACACACACACACACACACACACGCACACACACACATACAGATACACAAACCGACACACAAAGTTAGCGCTTTATATAATAGAAGGATAATAAAAAAAAGGATTGTTTCCGAAATTATAATGAACTCGTAAGGCGAAAACTCTTGCACATTTTGATGTTACAGCAGTTGCTGGTGATGTCTATCACTCCAAAGTTCACTTATTATTCAACTTATTTGGTGCTCCCGTAGGCTCTCTCACTCATGCTGCAGTATCAGTGAGAGTGCACAGAAGCACGAAATAAGTTGCAATATGTTTGGCATAAGTTTCGAAGTGAGGGGCCTTGATTCTTCCCCTGAGGCTTGGCCCTGATCGCGCTCTGGTCAGCGGATGAGCACAACACGAACGAAATAGGCGAATGAAGCCAGGTGCCAAGGAATGAATGTCAATTTTGTAACAAAGGCAAACTGAATTACCCCATAGGCTAGCTTATCAGCGAAAATAAAATTAGATATGTTGCTGAATAGCCAGTCTGCTGGCGCGAGAATTTCCTTCTTGAAGCATCGACAACAAGCTTGTCGAAGAATAGTATGTAATGTAGCAAATGCGCGTTAAATACTTCACAAACTGACGTGGCAGGAATTAGAGTGCGCGCGTGTGTGTGTGTGTGTACCAATTTTCCATTGTTCTGCTTGGCTCTGCTTGTTTGTAGTGTTTCTGATTTCTTTAGCGGGCAGGGAACGATGGAGCGATTGCAGCCCAATGCTCCAAGTGGCCCACCAACCACACCTGAATATTCTCTCCTCCATACTTGATCCAAAAAAATGGCCGTCTCATCCAGTGAGGCCGCAGCATGGTGCGACCAGTTCATTTTGATGTGTGAGTGAGCGTGTTGGGCAGCGGTTAGCGATGTCTACGGGATGGGTGTAAAGCTCAAGCAAAATGGTTCACGCACTCTGGGGATTCCCTCTCCTTGCAAAAATTGGAAATTCTGTAGCCATTAAGAACTGTCACACAACATGCCCCTCTTACTGGATGGGATCCGAATTTTTTTTTTACAATTTGGAGCAATGTGTATGTAGTGAACAGAACAGCTTTGAGTACTGAGTGAATTGAACGAAACACGCTATGAATGTTTGCCTACTTAACCGTGAATGATGTGGCCTACCACCCCCCCCCCCCCCCTCCAAATTAGGCCTACTCATTTTATTTATACTAAAAGTCTTAGGAAAAGGATCAAGTGTGTAGTGGGTGAGCAAAGTTAATCCCCTCAAATTCCTTCTACTCAAAAACTGACGAAGCTATTCGATTGAAATAGCACCCAGCTTTCTTATAATAATACTGCTGGTCAGATTTGAAAAAGGAAACTATGCAGAAAAGATTGTTAAAGCTCTGAACGAAAGGATTGATGGACTGAATTGGCGAAAATTTGGCGAGACTAAATTCTTCTGTGTTTAATGTAGGCTTGAATGTTGGCTTGTAGGCCTCTCAATGAATGAATTTCAATTCTGCTATTCTACCTCAGAATCAGAGAAAAGAAAACACAGCCTTACTTGTTGATCCACTCGATCTTGGTGAGATCCTTGAGACCTGTAAAGCCATCGTATCTATTTGGTTCTTCTTAAAGAAAATTGAAAATGTATACAGACCTTTTCTTCGAAGCGTCTGACGTGGATATAGACTCTGAAACATTTTTCTTATGAATTCGGCTCATAGATTTGCGGTAAAGGACTTGTGAGAGCGCAAATGTAATTTGGGGGGGGGGGGGTGGGAGGAGTGGGTGAAACTAAAGCCTTCATGACAAATAGTTGGCAGTGAATTGCAAGGACAGTTCGAGTGTTGTATGATTGATCGTAAAAAATAGCAGCATTGGGAACTATGTTAAAGGAGGACCCTGGGAACATTGCAGTGGATCTACCTTTTTGGTGTATAGGATATAATACATAAAGATGCCCGCCGAAGTCGCAGGTTTCCCATCTTCCGGCTCTTACAAGGGGGGTCTTTCAGGACATGGAGCGTTTTTTTTTCAAAATGGTTACCTGAATGTTGTAGAGGCTCATGTGAGGAACACAGAACCATGGTTCATTTTTCCTGAACGCCCCCGGGTATGTCAAGAGAGCGGGAAAGAAATGAAAGAAATGGTCCAAAGTTCGATCCCCCGTGATGACAAATTTTTGCAATTTATGTTGGCGCTTCCAAATTGCCGCAAACACGACAATGACATCTATTCTCGACGATGGCGCCATTTGGCGGCAATCTGGGGCGCCAAACTATATTGCAAAAATTAGTCATCACCGGGGATCGAACTCTGGACCATTTCTTCACCACTGTTTTTGACATTCCTGGAGGCGTTCAGGAAAAATGGATCATGGTTCTGTGTTCCTCGCATGAGCCCTACAACATGCAGAAAACCATTTCGAAAAAGCGCTCCATGTCCTGAAAGACCTTCCTTGTTAGATGTGCGACAGGACCTTCGAGACCGATTTCGACTGATTTCATTTTTCTCATTCTCAACATACAATACTAGTGTCTCATGCGCCGCACTTTTCCCGTATCCTTACCATATTCACTGCCTGGTTGCCTGAGCACAAAAATGAAACACCCTTCAATTTTGCTCGACGGACTCCTCTTTTTCTTCGCTGCCGGTTCCCTTCGCACCCCTGTTTTCATATTCCCGTTCAAAATCACACCAGTTCGGTCGTGGGATGTGCCTTTGAGACTGTTTGCCTGCTAAATATGGTACAACTCGAACAAATGCATAGACGGCTTATTATAGTTGCCAAAGACCGCGAAACTTAATGGCATCGATATCATCCTTCTACCTACCTATTTAGTGGTCAGCGCTAAAACCATAGCCTCCCTAATTGTGTGGAATCTCTCATTCCGTGATCTCTCCTTTCTTCTCTTACAATCAGTCCAACAGTGTGAGATATTTTGCGGCTATAAGCATGGGGCACTCTGATATCTCAAAGTCAGGGAACGCGGAGCTGCGTACAAGATGAGCAGTGCGACGATACTGCGTACCTATGGATAGAAACACGCAATGAAGCGAACAGAAATGAGACCAGATGAACTGCGATCGCGCAGAAGTCATTACAATTCATTGCTATCCTTCAGAAGACGAGACATGGCTTCTAATAGTGGGTGTGAATACCACGGACTTCATTGCATGCTCTTTAACGTGGTACCGTTCTGCAACAAGGATGGTGAAAAAAAATTTGTATATGCCTTTCATTCCTCGAACACCGCGGTTAGCAACTGCTGGACAGTTACCGTTCTATGTGAAAATGTCGCCATACTTTTTTCCAAGCATTCCGTACAAGCTCAGTGTGATTTCAGCGATAGAAAGCGGGCAGGCTGGACTTATCATCAAATGCTTTTCCGTTCCGAGCGTTCCTCACTGGGCTATTTTATGCAGTCTTGCTTCTTCATAAAATGAAGCTAAGATTGGATACACTTCTGAAGTGGCGATTTGAAAGTAGTAGACATCGCAATAACTTTGGACTGCGAACTAGTTGTACTTACTTCAACTGCAGTTTTTGTGGTTCCACACGGTTCCTCTTTCGAATTCTGAGAGCCGCACAATCAGCAAGGTAAGTACGATCCTGTGGAGGTCTCCGCTATTAGAGTCGTACTAAGGTATCCTCACCACCCAGACCTAAGTCGGTTTGTGTCTGCAGGCCTCTGAGATTGTTCAGGTCAGCTCCTCGATGTTCCCCTTTCAGCAGAAATATAATAGCTATTCACAATGTGTTTCTCAACCAGTTCAGTTGGGGAACCAACTTTCAGTTTTCTAAAGGCATAACTCGGACAGAAGTCGTGTGAACTACATAATCCTTTCAGTCTGTGATAGACAGAGGACAGCTACACAAGTGGCATTCCCGCGCGCGGAAATCACCTGACATGGGCGCGAGGCCTTGCAAAGTGAGCTGCTGCGACCGCATTTTTTTCGTTTATTGGCTGGTGTCTTGCGCCTTCTCATCTGTTGTTTTCTCGTCCTCATACTCTTCACGCTTAGTTTCCCATTGCCTTAGCGCGATCGCGAAGGTGAGTAAGCCACAAGCTAAGCGTTTTCGACGGATTCTTTTCCTTCTTTACTGCCGGCCCATT